TTCCTATATTTTGATACGTTCTAGTTGTCTGTGTCCAACGTAAAGGGCTTTTGATCACTGTTCTGCCATTCTAATTAGATCGTCCATATAAGTTATTAGTAGTAAAGGGCTCAAACCACCTCCCTGTCTCACTCTTTCTTGTGTTATAAAAGGCTTTGATTTCGTCTACTTGCTTATTACACAAGTTCATGTTTCGTTGTATAAACGTTTGATAACTCTTATTAGTTTCTAGATTTTTATTCGCGGAACTTTATCAAACGCCTTTTCCATATCTAAGAATGCTACGTATACTGCTGGGTGTTGTCGCCTTTCCGTATCCCACTTTGGGTTTCTGTTAGAGTTGGTCTATTTTTGATCGTAGTTTCTTTTCAAATATTTTCTTTAACAGTTTCAATGGTGTACATAGCAGTGATATTCCTCTATAATTGTAGCAGTTCTTGTTATCTCATTTTTTTGTGCAGTACTGGTTTTAAACCCATTTTCCATTCCTGCGATATCTTTTCTCCTACCCATTTCATATTGAAAATTTTTACCAATAATGTGGACGCGTGATGGACGTATGAATAAAAAATTAAGCAGAATCAGCTGCTAATGTCGGCGTCACCGGCTTCTTTGTGCGTTAGCGATTGATAAACTGACCTGTCGTAATAACACGCTGATCCCCACCTTCTCCTCCACCTCCTCCAACTCACTATCGTGTGTGGTATCTGCGCGATTCGATTTGAACTTGAATTATAATATTTGGTGTACAAATAAAATATTTTTCAGTCGTCGTATAAACGCACAGCTTATAGTTGTAAATAAAGTACGCGATAAGATCGTAAATAAGTTGAGAGAGTCTTGGCGCGAATTGGATTTTCAAGTGATTGATGGCTGGGGTTCGATGTTTGCGGTATGTTGGTGTTGTAACTTAAAATTTTTCTTTGCGCTGGTGTGGACGTGGACGTGTTTTTTTTTTCGTGAATTTTGGTTTAATGACTGGATATTTGAGTAGCAGAAGCAAAACCAAACCTATGTGGTAAAAAGTTATGTTTTCGTTTTCGCAAACCATTACCGAAAACACTCAAATATTCGATAGTTATTGCTGCAGGCGTCAGTCTCCACGGTGTGGTGAATATTCCGTTCGCTAATGATTGCAAATGAATGCGGCGAAACGCAATCGTTTTCCAATAATTTTGCGTTGGTTTATTTATGTCCAAAGTTCCGATATCTTATTTCTATGGCGTTATAAAAAAGTGCTTCTTGAACATAAATTTTATTATCATCATGTTAGTCATAATCACAAGACTGGTATCGTTGCCGTTCAACGCGTGTGTACCGGGTGTCTCTTGTCACGTAGTTCAACCGTAGGATGAGTGTGGTTTTTTTTTGTTTCGTCGCGATATGGATCTTCGTAAAATCCTTCACCATTTGTATATGATTTCGGCAAAATTCCGTTGTGTCTGATGGTGTTGATATGTAGTTGGTTATTTTTGCATTTTGCCTACGTAAAAGGTGGGTGGGGCGGTACGTAATCATAGTAGGTGGAATTTCGACTAGTGCCAAACAAAATAAATCCGTAAATCCATTCTTTTTGAATGACTTTTACAAATAGTTTAGTTTAAGTAGTGGAATTTTTGGAAGTCGAGCTGTGTTCCGCGGATCGGGTTGTATACATCTACATCTTAACGGCATTGAAGTATTTACTACCGTATTAGATTTGGTTCGTCTCTATCGGAGTATCTTATCTACGATTTTGATTGACATGTCCAATCGAGAGTCTCTCGAAATGAATTACGCGGTAATAATGACCGTATGTATCGGTATATTTTGACGAGAGCAATCTTAACCGCTTTTCTGTTTCCAGTTACGCATTTATGGTTATGACCAATCACTATTTACCTGTCCTTTACGAAAACTAAGTGTTTTGGGCAAAATACTGTTTTTGATCTTTATCAGTCGATAGGCTGTTAAATATTTTTGTAATAGGATTCAGTTCATGCCTCATATCAACCAATGAAGTTCTGTCGTATTAAATCCGTTATTTTTTGAGGTTTCCAAATCCACAAAGTTAGCTCCTTCCTTCGAGAATTTGCTATTGGACGCTACGGCACAAATGTTTGAGGTCGCAGTATCCAGTATACACTGGATCATTGTTTTCAGGTTTGCCCTGATGTTTCTGCTGTTTTCTTTGTTGAAAGTTTTGCGTTTTCGTTCCCCTCCACATCGCAGGCTATTTTAGCAACTCCACTACAAACTCCTGCAGATGCAGGTTCGTCAACGTTTCGATTTCTACCTTCGAAAATCCAATTTCAAAATTGACTCGATTCGTAGCTGACGTTGAACGACCTAGAATGCGAATTTCCATCGTCAAAGTGATTCATTCGGAATCGATGCGCTTGTCTACATTGTCATTTCCCGTTTTCTTATTGAGCTGGTGAGGATCTATGAAAAAGCAAATTGCGTATCGGTACGTTGATAACTTCATTTAATACGTACGCATATTTTTTAATACGGCAACAGTCGAGAGATCGCAAAGAAGCACAAGGATGCCCAAGCGCGTTATCCATCCGATGTTTTGATTTCGTTGAACCGTGTTTATCAGACGCGATTGTTTTGTTTTCTGTAATAACAAATTTATTGGTTTTTAATCGTTCGGGTAAATCGAGCGCTTTACTAGAACGGATGTCGTCGTCATCGTCATCGGCGTGAATGAAAACGATTTCGAATTGGTACGGGGTCACTTGGTCTGTAATTCAAAGGGGTGATATATGGGAGTCAGTTTTTATTGGCCACGTTTCGCCGAATCGCACTCGAGTTACAATCGTTAGAATTTATATTTGCGTTCGCGCCTATCGAGCTTGTTTTAATGGGTTCGGAGAAGACCTCGGGAAATGCCGAAGGTCGGAAAAATGTGGATTAAACTTCCCTGCCCTGCGGAGGCGTCCTGGTGCCGCACCAAATGTAGAATGCGATGTCTTTATGAAGTGCGGAGTTTGAAAGCCAATTTGAAATTCCATGATTTAGCACAATTTTTTAACCGTCGCGTCTCTACACTTTAAAAATATAGCATAGCGTAGGTTTCTTAAATGAATATTAAAAGAGTTTCCTATACTATACATTAATTGGATTGAAAATATTCACAAAACGTAAAAAGAGTTTTCAATTTAAACATTATTTGTTACGTAATTAACATGTTTGTTCATTCGACTTCTGCCTGTCTTCGTTCGTCTTCTAAAGGGCTTTAACAATGACCGGGAAACAAATCGTCCAAAAATTTATCTGCGACTCGCTCTTATCTTTAATTGCTTAATTAAATCTTATTTAATAGATCTATGTGTCGAGATAACGGAATGCATTCCAAGGTTTCATCGATTTCAAAAACACTCAGTATTTTCGACCTTCTACGGCGCCCTTCCGCGTGTCATCTTGAAGGTAACTTTGTGAGAAAAAAACAACATTAGTTTAAAGCGTGGTCTACACATTACGTCATCGACATCACATTGAAGATAAAATGTTCCAGACTAACAAAAAATTATCTCTTGGTTCCGTCAATGGACTGGAATGCACAGTGCGGAACAACTATTCAGAATCGTTGGAAAAAGAGACAAACTCGCCACTGAAATTGCCAAAGTTGGAGCGACCTGACACGCTACAGGAAGAAGAACTTAAGCATTTTACGAAATAATAAAAAAGATGAAGTTTTGGGTCCCTTTTTGTAAAGCCTTGACATATTTTTAGGTACTCACCCAACTGATGTTATTTAGTATTTTATTTACCCAAAAAATTAGCAGAACGCGTTTTGAATCCACCTCAATATAGTTCACAGGAATATATTTGTCACTTCGTAAAACCGACAAAGTCTTATAAAGTTCGCCAAATGATATACAGCTTTTACGACATAGTTCGGTCTCTAACTTTCGTTAATTTTTATAAAGGTCTAACCGCACGCCTTGGTTTTCTCTTTGTAATTCTCAATAAATAGATTCCCAATTCAACAATGACTTTCCAGAACCGTACTTCGATACTTCGTGCATATAAATTTCAGGATCCTTCCGCGTTTTTCTTTCTTGGACACATCTCACAACGATGTCATGTACTGTGGCATGCGCTGTGTTAGTCATTTCGGACGTTAATTTTATGACTCCACTTTTCCCAAATGTCGATTTCAAAAACAGGAACACATTTAAAATTATAATTTTGGCAGCAACCGGCAAATGTGTACGAGTCTTTGAACCACTTGAATTTGACGGATGTTTATCATCAACGATTATTACGTCATCGACCACAAAATTGTTAGTATTTGCTAAGAAATAAATTGTCATAAAATGTATATGATACCTCAATAAAAATGGCACACTGAGTTTTGAAAAACAAGTGAATAACATTAAGTTGGTAATTACTAATTACAAATATAAGACGGAATAGAAATAAGACTAAGAAAATACTGTTTTATAAAGCCGACAGCATACTCCGATTTCAGCAACCTCCAAAAATCTACCAGTAGCAAACTGGGAAAACATCCATTATAAATCAGTTATCTACATAAGATTTTGTATTGCTTTAATTTTTTTTTTACTATACTAGATTATATATTAGTTTAAGCTTTCTAATGTGTTCTTAATATAGGAGATCATCCTATCTAACGGGCAATTTCAACTTGAAATCGAGCTACCTCAAGTAGGGACTATTTTGGGAATATTTATAAAGAGCACACTAATATAAAATGTCCCTACCCTTAAAATACAACAGTCCGTCGGCTAACATTTTAAATACGATCCTGGTACGCGTGCTGAAATGAATAGTCCTTCCGCTTTACAACAGGCGGGTCTTAAACTCATTCTGAAGTCAAAACCATAAAAGGTTGTAAAAACGGTATGTGGTTGGGCGAACTTTACAAAGAGGCAAGTGGTACGGTAAGACGTAATATGTAGACCTCGCGTTAACAATCCGATGCGTCTCTCGTCCACACGATCTGCGCAGTTTTGAACGGCAAACGTCATGCGAGCGATCTTTTTTAGATTATCACTAGCCAAGAACGTTACCCTAAACACAAGACACAGATATGAAACAAATCCGACTGTTATCTCAGATATTCATCCGCAGAAAAATTATCTAAATCAAGCGTTACGTATCGATTACGTAATAAGTTATCAACACGGTGCAGAAGTAAACGTCACGTGTCAATTCAGATAAATATATCATCGCGGTCGATCGAAGTTAGTCCATTGACCCGAGTTGTTAGCTGGAAGGGTTTCGCTTCACACAGATTCATCCCAGCCACCAAGACGGCTCTCACGGACTTCTCTCAGCGTAAAAACATCAAGAATTTACATTTGAACCTGTTCCGCGCGGAAAAGTGCACCTTGAACGACTCCACACCACCAAAACGTCGGTCGGTGGTCGCGGGACATTCGAGTATAAGCAGTAAAACTTCGGGCGTGGCGGTGACCTTGAAAGAGTGGTGGCGCGATGTGGGGCTGTGCCCCCGGCGCGGCTCGACCGGCGCCTCTAAGTCCACGGTAGGTGCCGCGGCTGCTACGAGGCGTTGCCATAGGCGGGCGACCCTGCACTCCATGGGCCAGTCCTTCAGCATGTGCAAGTTTAACAACTGCAGACACAAGAAAAGTAAGTTGTCTCGTTTTTCCTTAACGACGGTTTTGAGCGGTGAACTAAATATTGAAAGGGGATCCAACCAGCTGGAATACTTTTTTTATGATTTGCTGCTGCTCCATTAGATAGATCTCCAGGCAGGTTATACGTTCCCAAGCTTTTGTATGGGCAGTCCTTCCCTTCCCTTATTCTTCTATATCTAAATTCCAAACAGGCGAACAAAAATTTTAAACCCATGTATATTTATTTATTTATTTATAAGCAAGTGTTTCCTACAGACAGACGCAGCTGTTCAATAAGAGGAACGCACAAAATGTCACAAAAAAAAGATGCTGTGTCAGTGGACAAGTTTCAATTATTTTTTACAACCTAAATCAAATTAAGAACTAATTACATTTTATTACAGTATCTTATTAGTATACAGTCTTAAGAGTCGTTTAAAGGCTTCAAAGCTCATAGCAAATGGGTCAAGATCCGGAAACGCGCTCTGTGCCCTATTATAAGTACGGGTAATGTCTGTTAATAGAGATAAGAAAGTGACCAATTGCTTTTGAATGGGATTATCCAAGGGTGGTCATTAACATACCGAATTTAAATTCAGGTAAAATTGTGGTCCCTAATAGAAAATAATTTTATACCTACCTGTATTTAATATTCTTTGGTTTGGTATACTACTTAGTTTAAGTTTGTTAGTAATCATTCTTATGTCATGTGTAATACTGAAATCTGCCATTCGTCGTAACAATGTTTTTCCCCGTATTAACTCCAATAGAAAAAGCAGAGCAATCGTATACCTATATTGCAAATAATATAGAACAAATAATAATTAGAACAGGCAATGATAGCGATAGTGATACTGATATATTATGCGAACAATTTTAAGCAATTTAAGTAGGTAATAAAAATAATTTGTAATTTTTTTTTAGATTTAAACATAAATACATACATAAATTAATAAATATCGTTTAATATCTTTCCTAACAAAACCCCAAATAATTAAGTTCTAAGCGAAGTACGGACCTGTTCGGCCATATTTCATTCTTACAGCTTGCCCGGGTCTTTCCTTAATTCGTATTAGTTAGTCACTTTCTTATATCTATGAACAGACTTTACATCTGATAAATGGAGAGTTAGAAGAGTAGTTTGAATTCTATCCAGAAACAGCGAACTTTTGCCTGTTTCTTTATAAAAAAGTAATAAATCAAAATTTGTTCTACGATTTCCCAAAGACTGCATACAATAGAAATGAATGATTTCACTATAACTAAAAAAAAATTGTCTGTCTATTAAATTTGGATTCCAGACTGGTGTAGCATATTCCAACACTGGTCTGACAAGACTGTAAAAAAGTATTATTAAAGAGTTTTTATTATTAAACCCATTCTTTAGTGCCTTTTGAACAATGTTTTCTACGTGCATCTCAAAAAGAAGCCCCGAATGTAATGTAATGCCTAGGTCCTTTACAGAGTCCGACAAGTTCAGTTCGTAGTTACCCAGCTAGATATCACTTTTAATTTGCAATTGTGTTTTTTTTTGTAAACAAGCAATCTGTTCAGAGAACAATATTTTTCAAAATTTGACAAATCTCTCTGCAACAAGACGTCGTCTGCCGCCGAGTGAACAAGTTTTTAGATCATCTGCGTACAAGGAGCAAGTACTGTGTACAAACCACCTGCTAAAGGCATACAAGAAAATGGCAAACAATAAGGAACCCAAATGGGACCCATGAGGTACCCTCGCAGTTATGTTTGTACTCTTTGATTTTATCTTATCCCATTTACAACAAATTAAGATCGTCCGTACAAGTACACCGAAATTCTCCAAAGAATTCACGGCAAAAATCTGTGCTGATTCGGGTCAATACGCCCCTTAACTATAAAGAATAATTGGTCCGAAACAAGTGACTCAAACAACTTAAGAGAGACTGGAGCGATTTTCCAAAGTCCAGGATATTTACTAGTTAATTCTATAGTGAAAATCGGGGCATGATTTTGAAAATATCGAATTAAAACCGTCTGGCCCAGTTCACTTTTCGGGATTAACAGAGCATAAAAAATTCTTTACATTTTCCTTCGATATATGACCAGCATTGAAACATTTTTGTGATGAAATTGGTTTTATTAGTGAAGGGGTGTCACATGAAGCTTCAGAAGAGTTCACAAACTATCAAAAATATTTTGTATCTTGCTCAATATTTTGTTGTGTTATAGCAATGTACGCTTTGTAATCTTTACTAATATTGATTTTAACGGCCTTTTTTAAATCAGAATAAATTTTATAAACTATTTGTCCCCTAAATTTTCAGTCCTTGTGCGTTCGTTTCATGCTTTTTATCAATCCAATAGTGTACTTCGAGAACCATAAAGGATATTTCCGTTTTTTATCTTGACTTTGGTATATTTGTATCTACAATTTCTGACAATTTCGCAGCGTTTAAAATTATTTTTCACAAATCACAGCTAATATTTTACCGATAATAAATGTCAAAATTGTATTCCAGATGTCGTTTAGGTCCAGGACGAATTAAAATTTTCAAATTGTCAATAAATGTCAAATTCAAGTAGCTCAACAAATTGTACAAAAAAAGCATTGCACTTATTTATACTCGTAGCAGTTTATTTAAAAAGAATCGGAATTGAGGGTTCTAGTTAATTTAAGTCCCCGAAATTCTTTTACAACTTCAAATTGTTTATTGATGTAATGTAATTTCTATACATATAAAAAACCGCAATGAATGCGATAACATTATCTACTTAATAAAATTGATATCGCAAGATGCTTAAACAACTGCTGGAATTCAAGTAAGATTAAAAATTGCGCATCATATCAAAGAATGCAAAATAAGTTATCCGCGGTAGGTTGTTATTCTTTTACATGGAGTGGGGAAAATCAAAAAATCAAAGATACTACATGAAATCCTTGCGAAAGTATAATTATAGTTATGCCATGATCGCTTATTTGATTGATCGACGAACGAATGTTAGGGTCGTTTTTTTTTTAACAATTCTAATTGCAAAAGGAAACAATACATAAAAATAAATAAATTTTGTGTGTGCTTGAGGGGAGTGGAGGGGATTATTTTTGAATTTTCTCGTCATAAAAAAAACAAAATAGCCCATCGTGTTTTGGTGTTTTGGAGAAAAATCGATTGTGTTTGTGTTGGATTTTTAAAATACTTTGGAAAAACAAAAGTTACCTACTGTTTAATCTTTGTTTTTGCGCTACCAAGTTTTGTCTATTGCTTGAAGTGTACACAAAATAAGTTTTGGGTTGCTTGTGTTTCACTACCGACTATTTACTAAAATGGACTACAAGCGGAAATAAATACCGGATACCTTAGCATTATATGGATTTGTCCTTATATCTAAACCAAATGTTCATTAGCGAAGAACTTGAAAAATTTACAGAAAGTTATCCCATAATATCTACCTTTCCGAGTATTTATAGATTTTTGCCCTTATAAAAGCCCGAGGGCTGCTGAAAATATATCGGACCAAGAACCACCGGCAATTGTCTGTGATTGCGTTCAAGGCCGGTATTCATTCCCTTGGCTTTGATAAATGGAAAGATGTGTTTTTAGGAATATACACCGCCGAGAGATTGATGGCGTTTGTTGCTTGTTTGCGTGGGGCTTAGAAAAGCCCGATTCTCTCGGGAAATCGTTATGCTTCGGTAAGGACGGGTCCGATGGATTGAAAGATGTTTTCTATATACAAAATTTTAGGTTTGACTGAGACGAAGACAAAATAATCTTCTAAATTATTCAAAACTAACCATAACACCCTCCAAACTTCAATTCTGATGCATAAACGTGAAAATTGGGGCCTTTTTTTCTAATCGTAAAGTTTTGTGGGCTTCTTCTGTCGTAATTTGATGTATGACTTAGTGGTAAATTTAGATTTAAAATTAGTCTTATATTTCTATAAATGGAAAATACTTCGCAGTCAAAAAAACATTTTTCTCAATTTAGAAAGATTCCAAATTCAAAGCATCTTTTAAGAATTCTTAGAGGTTTTTTGCCTTTTTTCTTTTCTTAGGTATCTGATTTAGTTAATTTCAGCTTCTATGTTCGAATATCTTCTTAACTTAATTTCAAGCTTACAGTTTTTTTTTATAACAAATTACACAGTTTCAACTACACAAGTAAGGGTGTTAATGTTTTTAAATATTATTTGAATTTTGTGTTTATAAGCATTGACCGTCTTCATGTGAAGTAATTTCCTGTAATTTTTCATAAACTTCAAGTAATTTATCCACGAGCTAGCTAGCTAGCTACAGAACAGGTTTTATATAAATTTAGCGCTAGCGTCGTAGAAGAGCTAATGGATTTTTCGCTGAACAAATTTTCTTTTTTTCAAGATGATTAACTTCAATTATTGAATCAAATTAACGAAATTAATGCAATAAACTTACCTACCAGTGCCCTTGCGCATTGTAAAAAATCACTAAAACAAAGGCGTATTTTTGTTTTTGTTTTTTTTAAATATGTGTCCATTGATGTCGCCACACTGTTAAGATTTTTCTTCTTCTTCTTTTCTCTTCCGATATCATGGCTGTTCGCAAATAGTGCTTTCGAGCTTAACGGTTCGTTGTAGACAAGTTCTAAAATATATCGGCATGTTTTTAATTTAGATGGAATGTTCCAGAAATATACAGTGAATTAAACTTCCTTTATATCTGTCATAAAATTCGATAGTACCTCCATAAGTAATAATATAAATTTTGAGCGCTTGGTACAAACAAAACGTTAAGAACCTTCATTAAAATTTGCATTTCAAGGGCAGAAGTCGTAGAAATGTCTGCTACCGATGCTATAAATCCCTATACATCGGATAACCGTTACCCATTGACAAAGCGGCCGGAATTGAAGAAGCCGTGGAGCCCGACATCCTGCACCCATATAAATTCCGTTCGTAAACTTCCATTTCGACGTTTTACAGTCTGTTTATTCTCCCATTGCATCGCAAACTGAAACAAAATGACGTCCGTTCGTCGAGGCACTGTTTGTCCAAGAC